AATAGCTGATATTTGAGAAGTGAAAAAAGAGTTGTAAGAGCAATTTGGAATGTTGATATTTATATATTTGATGTAACAATTATATCAAATTTATATTTCACATAGCTGGTATTTGAGAGGTGACGAAAGGTAAGAGCAATCTGGAATGTTGATATTTAATGTAACAATTATATCAAATTTATATTATATTTCACATAGCTGATATTTGAGAAGTGACGAAAGGGTTGTAAGAGCAATTTGGAATGTTGATATTTATATATTTGATGTAACAATTGCATCAAATTTATATTATATTTTATATAGCTGATATTTGAGAAGTGACGAAAGAATTGTAAGAGCAAGTTGGAATCTTGATATTTATACATTTGATTTAACAATTATATTAAATTTATATTATATTTCACATAGCTGATATTTGAGAAGTGAAAAAAGAGTTGTAAGAGCAATTTGGAATATTGATATTTATATATTTGATGTAACAGTTGCATCAAATTTATATTATATTTCATATAGCTGATATTTAATAATCTCGTTGGCTCCAGGTAATATATTGAGTGATGAATTGACAAGTTACGAGTTTTCAGAGTTTGATTAGGAAAGATTAAGTTCTTCCTTGTAATTTTGCAATTTTGCGTATGAACTTTCGTTTATCAATAAGAGAACATTAGTCACTTGTAACTGATAATTTCACTATATCTACAATGATGTGATTTAAATTAGAGTTTCTACATCGGAATTACTACAGGATTATCGAATGAAGTACCGATCAAGCACCTTTTCTCTTCTTTTCTCATAAGTCAAAATTTTCTCTTATAAATTTTCATTTATGGTTGTAAAGTTAAAAACTATCAAGTCAGAACTACTACTTATCATATATAAATAAAACTGTTATCTTAATATTGTTCCATTGTGTCTATCCTCAAGATTAATTAAAATACTTACTTGGTATTCCTCAATAGCCTCAGGTTCAGCTTGGGCAGCAGCGTACGCAACCACGCAGAGGAGAGCCAGCACGATGAATTTCATCTTGAGAATTGTTCTTTTCAGTCACTTGGAACTCTTAGATGCAAGATCTAGTGATGCTCTTGTCAATAGAGCTGATCGAATTCTATGCCACATTTGGCAGAAGCTCCGTCTTATATACGGATTTCGCACGAAGGTTTTTCCTTGTTTTCCTCATCACTCTCAACCGGGGATTCACTTGGTTCTTTCGCTACGTTTCTGTCATTGACTCGTGTGTCAACCGAGGGAACTCCCCTCCGAGAGGGTCATCCGAGGTTAAAAGTGCAAGTGCACTCTACGCGTATTCTCGGCATTCAATGGAATTCCCCTCGTTTGATTAGACTTTGAAAAAATGTAGATTAGAATTTCATTGTCAGTGGTTTGATCGTGTTTCCTTTCCTTTTTTTTTTCTTTTTCACTTTGTGTTCTTCCGTTTGAGTGGAATATGTTTAAAAATTGAATTACATTGCTGCTGGAAATTTTTACAAAAGACATATCAAAATATGTATAATTTTGCAAAATATTTCAAGTTTCGTGATAATGGTAACTCGAAATATTTCATTAACGATCGATGACGCCAAGGAAATCACGAGTACATAGCGTAAAAAGGCGCGCATGGATTTCATTCGTACGATTGCAATATATTTTATAATAAATATCTTATATATTGTTTATTTTATATAATATAAATATTTTATATTTTATAATAAACCATTCATATTCAATTATAAACTCGCAAAATTTCTATAAAAGATTACAAATTTCATCGGTCATTAAATATTATTAATATTTCAAATTTTATGCTTTATGTCAATAAATTTTATGTTTAAAACATATTTTGACGTAAATATGTTAAAACACATATTTATGTCAAAACATCACAATTCTGTTTACTCGAAACGCGTTACATTAAAAAAAAAAAAAAAAAAAAACAATTAATTTATAAAAGAGCGATTTCGCTTCGAAGAATATTAGCTTGAAAATTAGAGTAAACATAGATATCACTTCCGAGAGAGTTAAATCATTGTCTTGAAATCAAATTTGCACACGTGTGCAGGAAAGTATGGATTTAGATAAGCCCGTCACGTTATGTCAAATATGATCTCCTCTCCCGAGTTCAAAATTATAATCAAGAATAACAGTGAAATCCATCGTGATGTAATGCATACAAGTCGTTCTTCAAACCCTAACGCTCCCCCCTGTGCAATTTACACAATGTTTTTTTTTCCTTTTTTTTTTTTTTTNTTTTTTTAAATCATGCTTCATCCTATGAATACGATGCATTATAAACACCGAGGAACAATAGAGCAGCGATATAGACCAGCGTGTTCTCTTTCATGGCACATGGCCTTCGTAGTTCATGTCATAATGCATATTCTGTTGTTCTTTGTGAACTGGGGAAGCCCACGGAGACCGAAGCGGTTACCCAGAATTTCCATATTCCACGACCGGTGCCTTGAACCTGCTCGCGTGATCACGCGACAAATCATTCGCGACGATTGACACAATAGCTAATCTTGGCAGCCGGATTGGTATGATTTCGCAAAACGTATTTGTCGCTACGTGCCGCGAGATTATTTCCAGTTTTTCCCCGCCGAAGAGATAATTGTTCCAGTTTTTCCCCCAGCCGAGCACTGACTAAGAAAGTAAGAAAAGTATGCAGTTTATCGTCACTTCTCGTCACCGATATCGCCAAGTTGACAAGTTAAGGCCTTTACATCGCAAAGTAGATTGCACCTTCGCTTCGAAAACGACGCAGCTCGGCAATGTTAATCTACCGAGGATGGACAAATTATTATCTTTGGACGTGACTTCTTTTGCCAATTGAATCCGAGTTGTTCGACAGTCAGTTGCAGAATCGGGAAATCGAGAGAAGCGATGATGTTCCAGGCATTGTTTCTCCAAACTTGTGATTACATAAAGTAAAATTTGTTTTTTTTTTTTTTTTTTTTAAGAATCGCTCGTTAGGATGTTGTTTATTGAAAATATTATTTATTATTTATCAAGAGAAGATATTGCAGAAAATTTTCGTACGTATCAGTGGATAATTTATTCTTTGTTCTAGCAAGTTTTGATGTTCAAAAAATTTCAGAGTCTTGAAATTCATCTTTCTTTCCTTTAAATCTTTATCTTGAGGCAATTTCGAGTATTGGACTTAGCAAAGCAATTGTACAATTTTCTGGAGGCATCGATGAATTGATTCATATTTTTAAAAGAAAAAGAGCAAAGTTGTGCCCAATTTGTTTCTTTCAGGTACGATAACACACACGTCTTTTTCGTCATTTGCAGGTGAATTTTCTACTAACGCAGTTCACAGCGCTGATATTGGCTGGATTCTTAAGAACATTTCTTAGTCCTGTTGCCGTAACAGCAGCGACCAGACATGTGTTTGGTCTTGTCATCGGCCTTGCGCTTGGATATTTCTGCTTCGGCAGGTAAATAAACCTACGTGAATAAAGAGAAATCAATTAGTCCAGTAAAGAGTTGCACCTTTGATACGAATATTCTTACGCTAACGCCATTGCACAAGGTGTCCATCATTCGCTGATGCATTAAAAATTCTATTCTTACAGTCACGTAAAATGAAAAAGAAGAATATATTAAATTTGGAGCGACTAATGTAAAAATTATCGGACTTTTATGAAGATATCGGATACTTTTATAGACACAATTAGAGAAACAGAGATTTGTTTACTCACCTAATTAAAATATTGTAACGAAAACTTAATTTTGGATATTTTATGTATTTTATTACATACAGAAATTCGCCAATCCCAATAATTGTTGAAGTATATAGCTGTCTTCGAGCTAAATACAATAGCACTCGGGAAATATTACAAAGATCAATTTACATTTTCACCGCGATCTTTATAATAATCTTTACTCGAAATGACACTTCGCTCCAGAGAAAATTATAATTGGACATCGTGTGCGGTAGACTTAATTGTATACATTAACGCGGAAGATTAAAAAGAGAAAGGACGTTCGTCAGATCTCGAAGATTGCCCCTGCATTTAACCACAACCTGCTTCATTAAAAAATGAAAACTCGTCTCTTTTCAGGCAGGCGATACACCTTGCAGGCCTCCCCGCCTTGTGTTACATAGCAATGCGCACACAAAATCCTCGTAATATACAGAGGCAAGTTCACAGCGATATCTTCATTATAATTAAACTTATCGCGAGCATATTGATTCGTTCCATTAATTAGATCTCATACGCTTGAATCCATCCTTTCTGTAGTTGGAAAAAAAGAGAGAAATGAAATTTTTTTTTTTTTTTAAGAAAACATTCCACTGAAAATATGTGAAACATGTTCGTAATACAGTTTTATAATATAATATAATATAATAGAATAGAATTGTATTTTATAATATAATACAATTTTTGCATTTGTTTCTTGAGCACTATAAAATATCGTATCACAGCCAGTGTTTTACATTCGCTTAACGATCTTTCAAATTTATCACAGCGCGAAAGAAATCCCCATTTTATACGTTATCAATCTAGATATAATCTGTAGACGCAATCTTTTTTTCAAAAGTAATTCTTACATCTTCCATCTTCTTTGAATGGATTCCAAGTATATATTTTCATTCATTTTTATCTCAGAGTGAGACAGAACATTTTATTAATTAACGCAATTAAAATTGGTGCAAAAGTTTCGTAGACAAAATATTAATGTAGATACAAATCTATGTTTATATTAATTTTAGAATTAATTTTGAATGGGAGGTTATATCAAAAAGTTTATATATTTCTTTTCATCGTATATATCGTTGCTAACATATAAATAATGGCTTTAATGGAGAATTCAACTAATATCAAGAAATTATGAAATTGTTAACTAGTAGAAAAGGCAAATAGAGATGCAATCTTCATCAGAAACTAGTCGAGCGCGAACGATGCCATTTCAAGTAGAACAATGGCCGCGCGGTGTCAGACACGTCTTACAACTTACAGTGTCGAGAAAATACCGATAGAAAAATGCTCCCTTGTGAATTGATCCGATTATTAAAAGCAGTGGAACGGAAAGATGAAATTCTTATATTTTGGACACTTAAATTTTCACATATTTTCTGGACATTCAGATTTTCACTTCAATTAATAATTGACAATCGTATGAATAATTCGTAGTACTAAACATGGAAAAGCAATGATAGATTTCTTAACACTTAGCCGACCGATCGGGGAGATCTCCCACTTTGACTTTAGCGACGCGTTTCTCTTTTTCCGTAATTATCAGTTACTTGATCTGAAATTGTTCGCAATTACTTACGAACTGTTTCTATAAAGCACAATATATAATTGATAAAAAAAATAAAGTTGAAAAAAAATACTATTAAAAATGTCTAGAAGCAACAATGAAAATTTAAATGATGAGTTGTTCACGGACGCACTATCAGACTGTTGTGAAGACAACGATATGCAGATAAGTGATGATGAACTTAACGACATTGATAGTATCATTGTTCCCACACAATTTCGTTAAATGTTACANGAGGCGCCCACACCTCAAGTAATTTTCTAAAACATTTTTAATATCCACATAAATCTTTTTATTTAAAATAATTCTTTTATTCATCATATTTTTTCTCTCCATAATCTCCTGGGGTTCATTAAAATTTTTTTCTTTTATACTTTCATTTTAATTAATTACAATATTGCCTCCAATTATTAAAATTAAAATTTATATCAAATAATATAATATACAATTAATAAACCAAAATTAATATGAGTTAATAATATTTTAAAATTATTAAAATTAAAATTAATTAAACATTGTGGTTGTGTACCACAGTTACCTTAAATAAAATTGACCACTTAAATAATTTTCAGACTTTTTTTATTTCAAATACATAGTATCACTCGCGTTACGAAAAATGCGCGGTGGACAGCGTAGTTTTGACTTGCCCGAGCGCGGTCGGCTAAGTGTTAATATATGAATTTTATTTCCAAGGGGTAGGAGATGATTAACTCACTTAACAATGACAATTGTGAAAATTGGTGCTGTTCTCTGCAGGAACTAACTGTAATTTCTATTAATTAAAAATCGAATTATTGAGATAAATTCGACGTAAGAATTTCCCCTATTTCTCATACGTTCATCGTTGTACACGCGTTCGATAACTGCGCGCAAATATAGAGTTAGATTTTTCCTCTACTACTTTCCATTCTCCAGTGGATGGATTTAACAAATTCATGTACATTATCACGTAATAAGTAAGTATTGTAATGGCCGAAGCCTTTTCACGTTTATCCTTGTTGCGATCGGTCAATGATCGTTCCTTGAACTTAACGACTCATCTTGCTAATACGTTTCAGAGTTGTACTGACGACGGCGTTACTCTACTTGTCTTGTGTGCATTACCATCGACAGATGTACAATTACGGCTCGTACACTCTCGATATTACTGGTAAGTAGACTCGTGTGCCATCTTCCGCGGTGATCATAGTGCGCGAGATCCGATATTGTTTACCACCCGGAGTATCGAACGCGTTTAATTCTCGTCCAACGATGAAGACCGAATATTTTACTTTAGAAACAGCGAAAACGCTCTTCATCTCTACCTGATAATTACACCTACGCGAGAAGATAAATGAACGTAGTTTGATAAAGTAACGTAGGGGCTGTGTAAATAATAATATATATAATCTGTATAAACTGTGAAATTGTATGTCATTCACTTTCGTACGGGATAGTCAAAGAGTAATTTATTTGTTTCATTTCTTTATGTGCTAAAAAATTGAAACATTACGTGTGCATTCTCACAGTGAAAGTCGACTGAATATCAACAAAGAACAAAATCTACGCACTGTTTAGCTGCAGTATTGACAAAGTTGCTGTTCAAGATTTACTCGAATTTTTCAGTTCTATTATTCTGTACCCTTAATTTGCATTTCTTGTAACGACAAAGGGCAAGATTCTCTATTTTCTTACTAATTTTGCTCTCACTTTGTAAATTATCGTAACGCAGAAACTTCAATCAACGTTAGATTTTATATATAAAAAAAAAAAAAAAAAAAAAAAAAAAAAAAAAAAAAAAGAAGAAAGAAAAAAGACACCGTATCTCGGTAAATATATATATATGTAACAGGAGTGTACCAGGAGTGTACGGTTTATAAAAAAACATGCTTCTCTAAATAAAGATCGCGTTGTATCGTGTACATTTCAGGGCCACTTATGGTGATAACGCAGAAAGTAACCAGCCTTGCGTACAGCATACATGATGGGTTAACGCGACGTGAAGAGGAACTCACGCCAACGCAACGTTATCAAGCCGTGAAGTGAGTTGACGGCTTCCTTAAACGACCGTTTTATTCTACGACATTAATTATATAATATATAACACAACATGGGCGATACGCTCAACATCCACACACTATGTACATCATCATCAACATCATCATCATCATCATCATCATCATCACAACCTGACTGTTATATCAGTTTAGCTAATCACTCGTACATTTATCATTTCTTATTTCCTTTCCCGTCTCTGCCCGCCGTCACATTCAACTTCTTATGTGTATCACTTATTCTAGAAAGATGCCGACGACGTTAGAGTACTTCAGCTACGTCTTCCATTTTCAAGCGTTGATGGCTGGGCCGGTGATATTTTATCGTGATTACATCGATTTTATTCACGGACATAATTTAGCTGGAGCGAAAGCGTTGACGGTTAGAATTTTTGTTTGATCATTCTCCCTTTTTTTCGTATATATGTGTGTATGAGTGTATATATGTGTGTGTGTGTTTGCGCGCGCGCGCGCGTGTGTGTGTCTATACACGCCCGTATAAAAATAGAAGAAACGTGGAATCGATAAAAAA